TGATGAATCGTATTCAAATAAACATTTTTGTAGCAGTGAGTGAATTGGTTTGCTGGCATAAGGTGGTCGTATCAAGGAAGCGTACGAAGGTGTTTCTCTATGCGGCTGATGAGCACTTGAGGGGGTCGAAGTAGCTGAGAAGTGCGCTATTCGTTAAGCCGATGACAGAATACAAGTTGGTTGTGGTTGGTGATGGTGGCGTCGGCAAATCTGCACTCACCATCCAACTTATTCAAAATCATTTCGTTGAGGAGTATGACCCCACCATCGAGGATTCTTATCGCAAACAGGTATTATTTTTAGCCACTCTTGAACAGTTCCTTGATCTGCCTCGATAGTTTGAGTTTTGAAAGGTACGACTTAGCCGACAAGCTCCGTGCTCTTCTTTCAATCATTTGATATCATACGATCCAACTTGAACATAAGAATAATGAGAATATAATCAACTTTACGATGAACTGACAGGCATGGTTTCGCCGTTCCCCCTGAAGCAAAGAAATTCATGCGGCTTATGTGTCGAACCAATTCGTGTCTGGTCATTCAGCTCAGTATTTCTTCAAAATATTGGCTGATGACCTTATTTTGCTAGTCATGATTCGNCCTAAATTGTTATAAATGTCTACAATAAAGAGCGCCTAATTTATTAATTGCAGGTAGTAATCGATGGTGAAACGTGTCTGTTAGATATTCTGGATACAGCTGGTCAAGAGGAATACAGCGCAATGCGCGATCAGTATATGAGGACAGGCGAAGGATTCCTTTTAGTATTCGCTGTGAACGAAACGAAAAGTTTCGAAAATGTTACACATTATAGGGAGCAAATACGCAGAGTCAAAGACAGTGACGAAGTAAGTTATTACTAATAATGAAGTGTTTTGATGAAGTTATAATTTTGTTAGAGAGTATATTGCATGTTCAGTGAATAATTGAATATTTTGCATTATTGGGCTTTGGATGCATCTCCTAATAATATTTTTTGCCATTACTGCATTACTGTTGTCCATTTTCTTTGCAAAATAGGCAATGAAGGGATTCCGTGAAAATGTATGCCACAACTATTGATAGTTAAGCACTCATTGAGAAATATCAATTTTCAGTTATCCGTAAATGTTGAGATTATCAGTAGGGTATTTCGTAAAGAAGAACTGTAGCATTGAGTCGTTCATTTTGGCCTCGAAACGATTAAAATCCGTCGTTCGTTGGCCTGGCATCAGCAGTCTCCTGTTTTGTAGCTGTGCTGCACTTGATCTGTGTTCTATCTTTGTGAATCCCTCTAATTTTTGCATGCTATTGTATTCCATCTTCTTGTGACAGATCAACAGTTTACTGAAGTGCTGCTTTATGCAAGTGTTAAAGAATTTGAAAAATTTGA